TTATATCCCTAATCATACCCAATACCTAAACTTAAAAACTACCGGTTAGTAGGCTACACTTTATTTTAAGGTGTCCTTGTTAGTGCCTTGTTATTTAAAAGCACAATATGTAAGTTTTCGCCGCTAGAGGGCGCGTATTCAAAACAAACAAAGAAACAAAGGCATACTTTGATGACGCAGTGACTGAGTGTGGAATCATGGGAGTTGTGGTCTTCATCCCCACAGCCGATGCAATCCGACGGGACTCGGGCCGAAATCATGTTCATGGATGAGCTAATGTATTAAAGATTTATTAACGTCGTAGTATGAAGCAGGGTGAGGCTGAAAGCCGTCGAAGCAAAACGAGACCGCTGAACGAGCGCGACACACGGCTCGAAAGCAGCTGAGCTTTTATTATGCCACAGTCGACCGCTTCTGCTCCTTCCGGTCGTGCGTATGTGGGGTAAAGCAGCGCTGTTTTATCATACTAGCTACATTTGAAAGTTCTGTTATAATGCTACTCTGTGTGGTCGTCACCTGTCTAATAAAACGCATAACATAACGTCTTTGGTGTTTCCATGTTTTCTACAAAACAAAACCGGAAATCCGGGGTGTATGACGTCATTGGCAGGCGACGCAATGACCAGGGATGAGCCACTATTTAAAATAGCTATTTCTCTGGATTTAAACATTCTTCGAAACATTTGGGATAATACAAGTCAGCAAATATATAACACTGTTCTAGTGATTTTGGGATATTTTAATTAAAAAATCTTACATATTGTGCCTTTAAGGTTTGGTTTAGGGTTACTTGAATGTAATTATGCAAAGTTTATTGTTATTATAATAGTAAGTACATGTAACTTGTGCAACAAGGACACCTTAAAATAGTGTTACCCAACTACCTATTAATAAACAGCTAATTAGGAGTTTATTGAGTCAAAAGTAATATTAATGGTTTGTTAATGGCGAGAACTGGACTTTAAAATAAAGTGTGACTGAAGATAATGTTTCAAAATAGGCCATAACATGGACGACACCAGAAAAAGGAACTTAACTAAAAAAAATATTAAGGAACTAATGAGCTAATTAATACGGTAACAGAATGATAATCAAACAGACTGAGAAACTGGGTCAATGAGGAAGACAGAACCAAAGTACAAAGAAACATAACTGTGACAGTCAATGGTTACAACTGTCACATAACTGTGACAGTTGTAACCATTGACTTCCACAATAATTAATTTCTTCTTCAATACTTTGGAAGTCAATGACTACTATCAACAGTTTGGTTACCAACATTCTGACAGAATTGACAAAAACAAGAAGTTTTGGGTGAACTATCCATTTAACAAATCCTGATTTCAATCCAACTGAATATTTATGGGTGCAATTTTCAAAGGCCCATCTTCTCAAGATACTCATGCAACCTGACAGAGCTTGAGTAGAAATACACACTAGGGCAAAATTGGTGCCAAACAATACTTGTTTAATAGCTAACTGTAAGAAGTTTTGACTAATAGTAATTTGGAAAAAAAGATTTGTGTCAAAAAAGCCAAAATATATCCTGTGTGAAGAAAATTTCCAACTGCATGAATCCCTTATAAAGGCACGGTAGCTAATATTTTCTTTAAAAAAAAAACTATATTTATGGTATTAAATAAACTACTTTAGACAAAAAATGCATTAAATTAAATTCATTTAAATTCCTTTAATTCATTATTACATACTACATTAAAGGATACGGTTTGATTTTAACATATCACATTTTGGTTTTATCTTTTACTTTATCCCCCCTTTTATAGAGACTGGAGAAATAATAAATGGCAATTTAATGTCAGTTGCTATGTTTGCTGATTGTGGTGCAATGGCCAGCATATATTTGTAGACATTTTCTGTATTGGCATGTAATGTCTTCATTCACAAAGTAACTGTATTTTGTGATGTGTTTTTAGTGATTTAGTGCCCAGGCCTCTGCCCATTTTATGTGTGTGCATGAAAAGTCGCAGCAAAACACTGCTTTGGCAGGCAAATATCATTCTCATTGGCATTAAGGTTTTATACAGTTCAAAAATGCAGCATGCAGTCAGATGCCAGAGTCCAACTCCTCACTGGGCCTGTGGTGCTTACCGTTGGCTCCAGCGTGTGTAAGGATCTGTCACGTCATCTAAAAACCCTCCCCCATTTCGAAAAGTTGCATTACCCAGTGGAGCTGAATACCCTCATAGCTTTCCGAAAACTGTGTGTAATCCTCGAAACAGGCACCCTGGGGTCCACGCAGCGAGTAGTCGTCTGCCACACTATTACAGCTTTTAGCATCTATTATATCCATCTCTTCAATTTCATGGGAGACTCAAAGAATAATCCTTTCACTGTCTGTGCTCCTCTCCGCTGGGCTGAATGACAGGAAAAATAACTCAAATAGAACGAAGGACCACAGGACACTGAAATCTCAAGGCATGAAACCAGTGAATGAAAAAAAAACCACAATCAAGGGTATTTTATTTTTTACGATGCTCCAAATGTGTTATTATTGGAGGATATTATTACTGTTATTATTATTTTCATGATTCAAAAAGTTGAAGTAAGCTTGAAAGGGATAGTTCGGCCAAAGAGGAAAATTCTGTTCAATTTATTTATTCATTTTATTTTAACCTAGTTTAAAGTTTGTTTCTTTTGTGAAACACAAAAGGTGATAGGTTAAAGAATGTACTGGTTGCTCTTTGCCATATAATTGAAGTAAATGGAAATCCAAATCAAGTTATAAAATAACATAAAACAGACACAAAAAAAGTTTCATAAATTTGGCCAGTACAATATGAATCTTTTTCATTTTGTGTTATATTGAAGAAAGATTCATATGGGTTTAAGCGAGTAAATGATGACAGAATTTTCATGTTTTAGTTAACTATCACTTTTCTCAACATCAAATAATGTGGTTTGGAAATATTATGCCCATATTTCTCTGAATACTAGCATATTTCTCATGTTTATTTTGCTCAAGTAGCAAAACAGAAAACCCAATAAGGCTTTTATCACCATCCACTGGTGACAGCTAATAATGGGGCTGAGAATTTGAGCAGGACACTGATTTAATGCGATTAGTACAAAAGAACTAATGTCTTTGGTCCCAATGAACGTCATAAACTCTGAAACGATGATTAAACCAAACGATTAGTAGTGAACTAATATTATTATCTGAGCACTTACAGTGATGAGCTGTGTGTTTATCAAAGAGGGAACCAAATTGGGGAATAACTGGAGGGATATACGATAAAGGCTACTGCTTTGACGCACTGTTGCTTGTTTGCGGATTGCTTTATGATAGAACATTTTTATGTTAAAGGATCTACATGCAACAACAGGAAAATTAATACAACCACAGTCCTGTTGTTGTTATATTAATCTTAATAGTCTCTCTTCTGAACCCCATTCACAATTCAACATCCCTTGTGTTTGGTATGAACATCACCAGCATGGACTAATAACATACAATAGAACTGATGGGAAATAAGAGGTGAAAGGGCATTAGTCATTACGCTATAAACCATCTAAAGCACCCATGAGTATGCTGATATGCAGTGAGTCACTGCCTGTGGCTATAATAACGTAATATTTTGAAATTTCCCCACAGCACTTTCAAATGACCAACTGAAAGGTTAATTCAAAATCACTGCCTTAGTAGGCAGTTTAGTGTGGCTTTAGTTTGGGTACTGGATTAAAATGTAAAGGTTTGAAATGCATCTGGAATAAAATTATATGTGGGTAGTATACATTGATATCTCTTGGGAAACAATACTAGGAATCCATGACCTTTCATATGTAACACACAATGTTGATGCCATGCAAATAATTCAGTGCATGCTTGTATAATTTCCAAATGACCTGAATGTGTTCATGCTTTCCCAAAATGCAGGCCTCCCTTTGTGACTTGCACTTTGTATGTTTGCATAATTGATAAGGGAAAAACAATTAGTCCTTAGTCCTACCATGCCAGAGCTAAATCCATCCAGCATGCAGATATCTCTCTAAAACATGTAAAACCCTCAAAAATTGGGCTAAGTCATTACTCTCTTATCTTTCACAACGTTCCACAAAATAAATACAGAAAAAGCGATAATGATAATGGAATTTGAAACAGTGCTGGTAATTAAATGTGTTTCGAATATCAAAAATGAGTTTAGTTATTGGATTATCGCCTTAATCACATCCAAGAAATCATCTAGGCAAACAGTCCTGCAGACTTCCAATCATTACGCTTATAAAGGAGAACTGCATACTGGGGGAAATAATATTTGAGCAAACTGTGCTAAAGGGTTTTTTTACCTAAAAATGAAAGATCTGTCATCAATTACTCAGCCTTGTGTCGTTTCGAACCTGTATGACTTTCTTTGTGTCGAACACAAAATCTTGCAAAATGTCTCTGTGTTTTTTTTGTCCATACAATGAAACTTTATAGGGTCTAATGCTATGTTGGGTTCCCACTTTTTTACTGGTTTTTGTACAGACAAAAACAGGTAATACATTCTTCAAAATATCTTCTTTTATGCTCTACAGAGGAAAGTAAGTCATATGGCTTTGGAACGACTTGACATCAGTAAATGATGACGGAATCGTCATTTTTTGAGTACCTATCCAATTTAAATGACTGTAGATATTAATAGCCATTTCACTATGAAGAATGACCGATGACGGCATTAAACCAAGCCTGTCTTACAGCAACCCAAGATCCCACATCTAGGGCATCAAGCTGTCGTTCAAAGAGAAAATGCCCTGAAATATCACCTGGTTAGAAGATCCCATGTGCAAGGTCAGAATAAAATCATCTCCGCATGCAGCCGACTCTGTACGTGTACAAGCAACTACTATCCGTAGAGAAGATTTCATTGGCAGGCCAGATTCCAGCTGGACATGCAAGTATATATTTACAACAGCAAGGATCCTTCCTCTAATCATCAGTATTCACCTTTCCTTCCTGAGTGTGAGGAAGGGAAGTGATAAAAACAGCATATCAATATCTAAATATATTTATCCTAATTCAAAGGGGTCCATTGTCCCCCTCTGTTTCTGGAGTGACAGGCTGAGAAACGGCAAAGATGTCCTGGCACTGAAGTGGGGTTTTTGGAGAGGAGGTCTGAGGAGGTGGGGAAGGTTTCCTCTTCTCCGACAGAAGTCTCAGAATCTCCCCCACCTGGTCCTCCAGAGCCGCTAGCCGGCTATTTAATGTCTGGATGTCACCTTTTAGCTCCAGCTTTGCCTCGTACAGACTGTTTTGAAGCACAGTCTGTTCGGGAACAGGCTGAAAGTTAATCCCCCGAAGGGTCATGTCACCCACTCCAGGGCTGGGCTGCTCGTATGGGCTCCTTTCCATTGAACATCTCTCGACTGGGCTCCGTGAATCACCAACCCGGTCAATACGCAAGTCACTTTTTGTGATTCCGCTGTCGCAAGAATCAGTCTTGTGTAGAGCACTATTCTCATCAGTCTCATCGCTACTGTTACCGTTTCCAGTGGGACCCCTTTCGTTAGACCTCCCACCTTCTGCTTCCTGGCTCTTCCCATCTTCAGAGATCACATTTAGTGGCTGGGATACATCCCCCCACTCCTCTTCCTTCTGCTGCGGCTGCTTCTCTAGTTCCAGCGGAAGCATAGGAGACGATCCTGATGCAATGTTATGAAAACGCATCCAGCCTCGTCCTCTTCCTCCTCTTGGTCTCACCGGACTTGTTACCTTCAGACAATTTGAGTCCTCTACGCCAAAGCTGGGCTTGAGCTCCATAGCCTCATGGCCTTCACTCCTGTTCGGTTCCTCAGTCTGAACGTAGGCTAGGGTGCTCTGGATTGGGGTTATCTGCGAGACGGTCACAACGCTAGAACCACTGTTCCCATTTCCCAAGCCAGGGGCCCCGTTTTGCATCGGGGCCACGTGTTGGTGTTGAAGAGGATGGTGGCCCTGGTACTGGGGCTGATATTGCTGCTGATGAATCTGGTGGGACAGCGGATGGAGGTGGTGTTCCACCTGAAATTGGTTCCTCTCCAGCTCATGCTGGGATGAACCTTGTGTGCGCATCTCCTTCTGTTGCTTGAACTTTTGGAAGAGCTTGCGGACAGGATGGTCTACAGGGATTGACAACGTCACCTCATTTTTCTGGTGTCTCCTCTCCTCTTCCTCCTTCTTGACATCAACAATCTTGCGGAAAACAATCTGTGGAGACATAACAATATGTAAGAAATCTGTATGTTTGTAATCCATGTCTGCTTTGAATGAATGAAATAAAGAACTAATTCAAGTTCTAAAGAGGCACTAGTTACTAAGGCATGAATAACTTTTATGCTGGTTATATCATCCACTGGCTAATTACATCGGAGCAAGAACATATTTGTCATGATTAGGGTTGCATAGATTTACAATTCCTCAACTATTCTTCACTCGTGACCTTTACATCCAAAGCAGAGGGGAATAGGTCACCATATATAACTCCTGATAATAATTCAAGTCCCATAGCTATGGAAGCCAGTTTCCACCTCAGAGTAAAATAATAAAAATGTTAATTGTGAAAGTGTGAAATTAAGTTTAAAATCAGAAATAAAGTGACTTTTTTTTAAATGTGCAAGAATTATACATTTAGGTGTACAAAAGCATGTTACTGGGGCAGTACCCTCAAAACAACCCCTAAAAGGTTCAAAGCAGTACCTTAAGGGTCCATATTATTACTATGAGGTTATAATATATAATAACTTTTAGAGGTAGATAAGGTAAAAATATGTCCCTTTAAAGGTACTGCCCCAGTGACAAGATGTTGCACCCCTAAATGTACTATTTTGCACTTTTTTTCTAAAAGTGTGTTTGTGAGATGTAAAGTGACACAGTGTGATATAAAGTCATAACTGTGAGAAGCAAGGTTGTAACTGTGAACTATAAAGTGGCATATATCAAAAATAGAGTTCCTATGAAACCCTCCACCTCCCCCAGTTCCACCTGTCTAGATCCACTATGGGTAATTTCATTTATGCTATTTGTGTAACAGTGACATGGCTTCAAGCTCACAGCAGTGTGTCTGTGTATGTATCGGCAGTAGCAAGTCTCCATACCTGCTCTACAGCAGCAATAAAAGCAGTAGTAGCGTGTGCAGCAGTTGCCATGATATAATAATCACACTGTGAGACATACAGCAACATTGCAAAGTATAACTATTTAAAAATATAAAAAAATGACTTATTTTATTGAATGAACCATTCACAAACTGAATGCTGTAATAGGAACCGCAGTCAGCAAGAGCCCTTACTGATTTCCATATCACTGTAAAAGATGAAGTATTTGCTCTCATGCTTGTGGCCAGCTATCCAGTCAAGTGCCACTGGTGTGGTTCCTGAGGCATGACAGTATTGAACAGGACAGTAGAGTACACAAAACGAACAACACTGGAGCTGTGCCAAGTAGGTCAACTGTTAGGTTCAGGAACTTGTACCATTTAAACTACCAGTACTTCGAGGTTAACAGAGACCTGTACAGTGATTCAGAGCTTCCTCCAACAGCAACCCAGCACCTTGCAGAAATAGCCTGGCTCTCTTCCTTTCCCCCTCATCGGATCTCTTTCGGCTGTGGGTTTACACATGGCAGTAGCTTTGATCACATACATTTTAATTAGAGTGTTAATTAGCCACCCAAGCCCCCTAGCTGAGCACCCTTGGGAGTTCTGCACAGCCCAACCTGACATACAGAGCAGGACATGCGGCCACACAGCTTGTTATTTTTAATGGAATTTCATTACACGTTCAAAGACAAGCCTGAAATAACATTTTGTTTTGTGTAAAACTCTCACTTGTAATGATTGTCTAATCTTTGTATCACTTACACATTACAGTAGAAAAAATCATAAACTTCTAGTAAATTACTGAATTCTTTTTCATCACAGTCAATGTTGTGTGAGATAATGTAACAGCGACCGTGCTGACTTAAAAAAAAGTCCTCCAGGCAAACATTGGTCTGTAGTGTTAAAAATAGAACAGAGCGTGTCACGTGCCCTTTAGTTATCCCTGTGCAGTCTTTTGGCACCCTGAAGTGCTGCGTCGCATGTCACTTCTCATCTCCCAGGAGGACTCTGGTAAATAATGAATCCAGCCCCCTTCTGCCTCTTCGTATTATTTAAATGTCGCTTAATACGAGCAGAATGAGATGGAAGTGACGGAGTCAACTAGAAAGAAAAAGAGAGAGTGGGCTAGGAACAATGTGTAGCCAAATACAAAATAAGCTCTAGGGTGCAGAGTGAGAATGCAACAAAAGAAACTAAGGTGTGTGCAGTGATGGACGCTAATTATGTTTGGGAAGTGACAGGAAATGGTTCTAAAAATACTTGTTAGAAATAATAGTCATCATATAACTGCTATTAACAGTTGTGGCATTAAATTTGCATTCTGTACTTCTATTTTGTCACTATTCAGAACAGTTCAAATTAGGGTTTCACTGATACAGTATTTAAATTCTGGCCAATACTAATGAGCTGTTAATTATTTTTTTTGTTATGACATAACTCATAAATGGTAAATATCATACTGTATATCAATGCTATTTTGTCTAAAAACTAAAATCAACATAAAAAAAATTCTAACTACAACATTATAATGCGCATTATGGAAAATATATTCATTTTGAGATTTGCTAAAGATCACATTGATTTAACAATGTTATTCAATTAGAGTTTTTAAAGATCAACTTTAAATAAATAAGTGTTAGATGACAATGAAGGCAATCTCAATTTAAAAACAAGAAAATGAGAATAAACAATTAAATATTCAATATCAACTGATTGCAGTAAATTAAAATATTATTAATATTGCCATTAACCAATATATAATGCATCCCTAATTTAAACAGCCATACATGTATCTGAGCAAACACTTAAAACAACCCACATCCTTCAGAGGGTAAAGGATACAGTAAGGCTGCTTAATATAGTACCGTAATCTCTGTCTACCATGAAACACCATTACATACTGTATATGAATGTTAAAATGCAGTGTCAGTGATGTGTATAATATATGGATGCAATGTTATGTGCCCTTGGAATAAAAAAAAGAAGCTGTGAATTAAGTGAAGTGCCATTATGCCCGAAAATAAAGAATTTACTCTTTGGCCTCAGCTATGCACGCTGTTTAATTATTTCCTTTGTGCAGCCTCTTATTGGATAATGACAATTATCACAACACTCAAGCTATCTGCTGAATAAAAGAAGAGACAGAAAGAAAAAACATGTGTCAACAGCCTGCATCTCTGCTGCGGAGGAAAACTGATTAGGGATTTATAATGATCTGTTAGCATCCATGGGGAATTTTAATGAAGAATCCAATATTTCATTTACACTCTCTCGAGCAAGCGTTATTATTCTAACATTCTTCACCTGTGTGAAGAGACTTTTTTCCTCTTCCAACAAAGATGGATTGTATAATTGGAATAATTGCACAGGCATGCCGGGTCAGTCTTGTTTTTTTTTTAAACACAGCCTTGAGTTCACTCCTGGACAGAAACTCAAATTAATGATAAAGTATTACAACTTCAATTTTTTGGGTGGACTATCCCTTTGAACAACATTATCACAAGAGGTGTCAGTGTGGTTAAGTTTACTGGAAGAAATTGTCAGTGTAACACATAAACACCAACATTTAACACCATGTGTGGTTGATTGAGACAGAAGTAGAGCAGATGCATGAGCTCAGAAACCAGGCCACGTGGTTACGGAGGAAAAAAAGGCAACATGAATAGGGTGACCATACGTGCCATTTTTCCCGGACGCGTCCTGGCCAGGATTTCTATATTGCCTAAAATATCTGGGTTTTGGCTTTGTTTGCGTGTGCAGACCGATCAGTGTATGACATCAAAATACCATACAGACGGTTCCTAATGCTTTCAAAATGCTCTCGAGGTACTTTGATGTCAAACACTGATCGATCTGAGCCGCGCTGCTTTTAAGTCGAACACACATCCTATGTACGCATAATTGCATCGCTTTGACCGTAGATCCCACCTTCTCATACACACCATGATTGGTCCATTATGTACAATGCCTGCATGTTACTGGTCAAACTACTTTTCGATCATTACCTGAAAACATGAAAACAGGAAAAAACAAAGCCAAAATAAATCCTGGCAAGGACGCGTCCGGGGAAAATGGCGCGTATGGTCACCCTAAACATGAATGATTTACTGGAACTAGAAAATGTGCTTTATCTCACTTCCCCTGATTTCAAATTAAAGCACCTGACCAAGCTGTTTAGGCCAAGATTACCAAAAAGATTAAATAACAAAGTGAGCATATTAATAAACCTCTCTGTAGAGAGGAATTGAGACTTTTTACAAGTATATTAGTTTTGGTTGCTTTGCTTCAGAAGCATTGTGACATAAATAAAGGGTAGCTAGAGTACTATTAAACAATGTTTAGTTAACTTGATGTGCAATACTTTTGAACAAAGCAATTATTTAGCCTAACTATTTAGGAAATGCTCTCAAGAGTTGTCCAACTTAAGGTACAATTACTCATTTACAGTATATGCCTAAAATGTGTGCACTGGGAAATACAGTAAGACACTCATAACAGCGTTTAATCAAACAAACAACAGAGTCCAGCTCTGAGACTAAGAGTGTTTTTTCTTTATCATTTTTCCTATTTAACGCACCTTCAAGTATGCTTAATACATTCTGCTACATATACATGGTAGGATGGTATTTTTTCATTATAAATTAAGTAAATGTCAAGGATATATATGTAAACTTATGAGATCAAGTGAGTATTTGGGTTTTGAATTTTTTAAGTTTCTTTTTTTGAAAAAACAGTTCAAGTAAATTTGAGACATTAATCACGTGACTCATTTGTACAGACAGTCAAAGATGCTCTCTCTCATTAGCCAGAGTACCAACTGGTTCTCATGCGATATGTATTGTATCTGAGGAATAATCCAGGCAATGCTGTCTGTTAAGTTAAACTCTCAAATACCTGTTTCTTTAATAGATACATTTAGTTAAACAAGAAAAAAGGCCCATTTTCCAAAAGAATACATTCTCACAGTCTTGTTTATTTCCCTTGGACGTTGCCTGACTTTGATAAATACATGAAAGGAATGAGACAACACTTTCATCACTCATGACAAGAGCCACATGGAACATAACATGCCCTGACAGTGACTGAGTGACATGCAGACAGTGGGAACGGT